ATCAGCCTTTATTCCTTAATATCTTCTACTGTTTTTCAGGGAGGAAACCACACGACTCTGGTTTACAATTCCACTGCGTGAAAGTTTTGGATTTCCGTTCATTTTTGCACAGCTTGCTTTTATCACTGTATACTTTAGGAGGAACATGTCTTCACTTGCCCAGGTATTTTGCAGCTCTTTAAATTAAGTTCTGAAAAATTGATGTTTTAGTTTTTGTTTGTAATTCCTTACCGGACAGTTATATCCCCTTCTGGGGAGGGAAAGGGGTAGAATATGGAACATCTGATCAGGGAACAAGTAAAGTCTGTCCTTGTTATTTGTACAGAGGTGTTCTTGCAAGAAGAGGACAATTTGGGTCATAACCTCACTTAGTACTTGTTACCCTGGGAATTCTTATTTTAACTTTGATTTGGGAGTTTTCATGCCCAGACAAGTGCTTATAGGTATGTTTAATGCAAGGATTTTTGACTTGGCAATTATTTATTCATGTCTATTTTTAATTGTTTCAATTTTTCTTCCTAGGTAGTGTGTTTGGTTGGCATAGCAATTTCGACATTTTTCTTTGCATTAGTGTGGCAGTTTGCACAGTTTATTCTTCTTTTGGAGTCCATGGCATTCTTTGGTACCTATTCACTTGGCTTCATCCCCAAACATAAGGTTAGGAATGCTGTTCCCTTCCACCCTCTGATGTGAAAGCATGGTAATTAAATTGGTTCAGAGTTCTCAAAAAAATCAATTATTTTTGTTATAATCCCCAATTTTTGTTTTTCAAAAAGGAAACCGAATAGAGTTATAAATCAAAAAAGGTTTGGGTTAGGACAGCAATTTGTAAAGAAATGTGCCTGTGTAACCAAGGCCTTTTACCTAGCATTAAGGCTTTTCCTGGTGTGAATGCAGGCATCACCAATCAATTCTTCCTATATCATTCCTCCTCTTTTCTTTGGCCAACCAACCCACTTTCATGAGAAGAGGTCATGGGTTCAAATCCTGTATGGGCCTGAATTATTTTCAGGCCTTTAATTTCCACTTCTACATAAGTAGGGTTTATTACTGCAAGGATCATTTTCATACATTTCATGAAACTGCAGTACACATATATGATTTTTATATATTCAAAATTCATTGCTTGTATTCAATGTTAAGCTCTTTTTTAACAAAAGTCAAAAGTAACAAAGACACTCATGAAGAGTAGAACTCAATACTGTATTGGATACCACTTCAGTTACCCTTGGGGTTTCCTTTGATGTTATAAACCAAGGAATGTTATAATTATACCAAATGTCATATCAAGTTTTTTTTTTTCTTTTCAGGCTCGTACTATGTACCTGATGGTGATTGGTTCTCTGCTTGGAGTGTGCATATTGCAGTTTGTTAATGACATGATTCTTTGTTCTCTTGCGCTGAGCTTTGCTATTGCTTCTGTCATCATCATGACTTTCCATGTGAGTTGTATGGTATTTTCTAAATGAGTCAAATTTTACATTTCTTAGGTTACTAAAAAGGTTAGGACATTTGTTTTACCGTGTCATTCTCATTTGCAAATGTTTGTTGTAGGTTTGAATTTTTAATTTTACAATTACTGTCTAAGATTACAGCCTAAAATTGCCTCGTACAGAATTATGTATACTAGAGAACTTTAATTTTTTAAATGAGGTGCAGACAAAGAATGGAAAAAAATGCATGAGACAGTAACCCAGAAACAATTTACATAACCAAACTTAAAAAACAACAACCAAACTAGAATAATGGGAATTGAAAAAAGATATATACCTGGGTGCTCAAAGTTTGCCTCCACTGAGTGATTAGCAACACATTGCCTGTCTGACTGATTTGAAAAGTAACAGCAGAAGAATCGATTCCTTCTTACAAAAGGTGCACAGCCCCTGATTGCACGGTTTTTTCACTTCGTAAAACAATTATTTTTTCAGAATGAATACAGTTCAAATGATAATTTCTTCTACAAAGTGTTCAAGCTTATCATCAACATCATCGCTACCTTACTGTTAGCTGGAGCCATAAGCTTTGTTTCCAAGGTTGGTTCTGATTGTCTTGCTAGTGTTTAAGGCCTGTAAGCAGCTAGTAAAAGCATGAGCACTTGTTGGAACAGTAAAAACATAGTGTTTAAATGGGTGTTGAAAGCAATCCAAGAATGAGTTTCAAAAGCTGACATTTCCAAATGAAATTCTTTACAGTGACCAAATAACATGATCAACTTAGTTGATAAAACCAAATTTTCTTGTAATGCCCCCACCTACACAGCACCACAGTTTCCTTAGAGAACTATTCCCTATACATCTTAAAACCCTTTAACTCACATGAGTGATCAAGACAGAATTTCTCTTTACAATATCAATGCAAAACCAAGGAGACGAGAGATAAGAATACAGAAGAATATCTGGTAGGGGACCATTAAATGATCCAATACCAAATTCCCCAAACTCACATCTCAAAAATAGTATAGCAGATAGTAAGGAGAATTACTAATTAGATCTTGGGATTGAAAGGGTTATTAAGTGACTTGCTTTGCCCGCGCTTGGTCCCACTTAGTCACATGTTATATCTTTGAACTGTTGAACATGGCGTCTGCTTTTGTTGTTGTAGCAGTGTACTCAGTAGGCTGCTCTCTCGGGTCCGGTCTTTCTCGTTCCTGGGAGGGGCGTGGGCTTCGGTTCCCGAACAGCGGTTGGTAATCGTGCCCCATCGAGCCTATGTACTCAGTCAAAAATTTCTCTTCTTGCAGGTTATATTCAGAATAGAGTCTGATGAGCACATCTTTAAGTTCCTAAAGTCAAAGTTTGGTTACGGTATTGGAAGGTACGTTACTACTGATTCAAAGTTTTTCCGGATAAACTAACCAAAAATAAGTAGTTGTCTTCCCTTTTTCAAGAGCACATATTCTTCATCCCGTGGAAGTTTTGAACTGTTTGTTTCTAGCTCTTCTTGTTGTCAATTTGTTTTCTTCTCAGTTTGGTTGTAATTTCGAAGAAAGCTCAGGGCCAAATAACATTAGGCTATTTATGTCTTTTGACCACACTACCTACCCCTTCCTCTAACTTACTTTTTGCTCATCCAACTCTTACCAACTGTCCCGACTCTCAAATTTCATGAAAATTAAAGCGATCAAAGGTGAAGCCACTCCTTCAAGACGTTGTCTGATGAGTTTCTTGTGATCTCTTTCCAGGGATTTTGATTCGCTGTTGTATCTTTGTGAAAAAGCATTTCAGTTCTGTCCTTTGGCTGTGTACTCAAGACTTACCTCCGGTGTTGTTTTCCCTTGTTATGTCTTATCTTTGGTAGCTGTACTGTTTCTGATGGCGTATACTGTACTCGTGAATTGGAGGTAAGATGCTGTGCCTTTATGATCCTTAAATGTTAACCTCTTATCACATTATTTCCTTTAGAAACTTAGATTACTTACCAAATTCCTGTCAGATACAATGAAATATATGAAGTTCATATATTTTGTACTGCGGTATTAGATACATATGATGCTCGATCCTCGCAGTAGATAGCGGTATTTAAGCAATAGCGAAAACTGTGATTTTTCGCTATTGCTTAAATAGCGCTATCTACTGCGAGGATCGTGCATCATATGCAAATTCCTGTCAGTTATGCGGTTGATTTCTTAATGAAGACTTAAGATTTTTTGTGCATTAACCAAAAAGGAACAAGGCTGGCCGAGGAGGTAGAAGATATCCACATAATGCAAACGAGGAAATCTGGCTTATATATTTCAATGTTGCGCAAATGCTCTTATTTGCCTGATTAAAGTGTTAACACAATGGTTCCACAAACCAATCTTTTCAGGTCTAAAACCGACGATACTGCAGAAGAAACCAACTGTCTTTACCTCAACTCTCATCCTGAGATAGTATATCAAGCCATTCAGAGCGTTTTCTTTGGTGCACTAGCTATCACTACTGTTCGCTTTAAGTATCTCTGGGTACCGCATATGTGTCTATTTGCCGCCGGAATATTTTGCAACCAAGCCTTCTGGAAAGCGGCTCTTAACAAAATAGGAATCAAGCAAATATACGTAAGTATCTTTACTCGATGCTTCGGAGATTGAGTTGATACGAAATAATCTTGGCTTTAGTGATTGCTTATATTAACATTAACATCAACATCATTGTGACGAACAAGCGTTATCATTGTTAAGTACGATGATGTTCTCTGCAGTCACTGTATTTTTATCTCACTTCCCAGGGAAAGGTCACTGGTCATGGTGTTCCTGTGATGCTTCTTGCCCTTTTGCTATACAATGTAAGTATGGCACTTTATTGCTGAGATTGGCATTTGCTGATGCTTTTATTATTATTATTATTATTTTTTTTTTTTTATTATTACTATTATTATTATTATTATTATTGTGGTTTCACAACAATATCTTTTGACTCTAGATCTAATTAGTTAATTTTTTATGCCTGCTGCTATTTTTATTCAGCGTCTCCCCAAGGCTCTGAAAGAACTCGAAGAACTGAGAGAATTCTACGACCCGGACACTGTAGATTTAATGAAATGGATAAAGTAAGTTCATTGACCCACCAACTCCATCGAAACTCGTCCATAACGTCGCCGCTTGTGACCACATGGTAATACCCTCTTCCCACTCCTCCCTTGTTTTGCCGTTAGTAGGTTGAGATCACACTCACAACGTAGCGTACGATTATGCTGTTTGCTGTACCCGGCGTTCAGTCAATGGGGACTTTAAGCAGTCAGGACGGCAACGCCACGGAAGACGTCGATCAAAAAAATGAGTTTCTACTTTTAGTTAGAATTTCGAAAATGGCTGGATGTGTTTACCGTCTCATAGGGCGCCAGACCTCAAACTCAACATAACGCATAAAAGTAGCGGTGAGTTCCAAATGTAAATTAAAATAACTTGCCGCCGCGGTTTAGCTTCAAAGACGACGCAAATTTTGGTGATTTCACGTTGTTGTTTTGCAAAGGACGGCTAAGAAATGTACAAAGTTTGAAAACGCACGTGCTGGGCTATTGTTCAGCCAATTAGATCTATTGTTTTTCCACGTTCTCGTTGCCGTAGCCGTCGTGGTTTGCTTAAAGTCCCTAATAACACGGAGCGCAGTAGTAAACGGCGCGACTAGAGCTTGGAAACGAGAGAAGTCTGGTTCATGTTGGGTTGGGTCGGGTTGGGTAATGAACATTACGGGACCGTAACCAAATCCATTCTTGATTCTTTGCTCTGCCGCCCCTAGTGCGCTTTATTTATTATCGCGTTCACTTTTACTGACGGGACGCTTGGAATAGGCTAATCAATCGGTTAGTGGAAATTAACGTTGTATTAACCATGATTAAAGGCAAGCTAGGTCGAACAGTATGGCTTACCTTGAAAGCAAACATGTAAGAGACCAGACTCCGAGAACACTACACAATTCTTATGTAGCGGTCGGATGTCTGAACGACAAGTACTTTTACTCAGTATTACAAACAATTTCTCAAGAAGTCCTAGTGAAGAGGATAGAGAAATGACAGATTAAGCAAGTGCAGCGTCGCAGTGTAGCGCTCACTTCCCTCAACTGATCGGATTGATCTAATGGGAATGATCTTGCGAGATTTTGATTCTGCTAATAGTGAATTACTTGTCTCTAGTGAGAACACTCCTCCAGATGCTTCGTTCACGGGAAGTATGCAGTTACTGGCCGGAGTAAAGCTCTGTACGGACCGACACATTACAAACCATCCACACTACGAGAATAAGTTCCTTAGAGAAAGAACTAAGCAGGTAACCTCTTGCTGCGAAACCTAGAAGCTGATCCAGCAATTAATCTGGGGTGGACTGAGGATGCACCTTCTGAACGTCTACAAAAACACTTTACACCCTAGCATTAGTACTCTTATTCTGCATTCGGTTCTCTTTATATTTCCTGTGGTAATAACAAAGACAATTTGTATGACAATCAGGAGCCATTTAAACTCGTGATCATGTCCTTCACTCTCATGTCCTTTACATTTGATCCAAGGGTGATGCTGTAAGGAAAATTTACTTTACTTTGCTCTGTGATTGGACAAAAAAAAAAAATAACTTGCGCCACCTCTCAACAAATCAGACTCAACAGTATCAATCGCGATTGTGCTACTCGCGGTTTCCCGCGTTTTGGGTACTTGGCCTTTTTCCACGTCGAATTCTGATTGGCTCCTTGTGATAATTTCCTTTGTTTTGATTGGTCGTTGTGATTACCTTGCTTGTACTTTTAAGATATTTCTTCGGAATGCGTTTTAAAAGTGAAATTGCTTTTGGCTTGGAAAACAGATGGTTATCAACGATAAGGTCGATGTCATTCGTATCAGCTCTGAAAGTTTGAAAACTCCTGGTTTGACCGATCGGACAAAATGAGATAATTCAACACCTGCTCACCATTAAAACAAACTGTCGCTTTGCTTGAGATTCTTTTCTGTGTTCACAAGTTGAGCCTCAAAGTTCCGCTCGCCTAATCTGTTATTATTTGCAAACACTGACAATTGTACCTTGTGTTATATTTATTCTAGGTCTATCAAATTTACGCACGAAGACCGCCCGACGAGGTCTACAAAATTCTTCGGCAACACGGCACAGACTACATCATATTAGAAAACAGTATCTGTCTCTCACAGCAAGATCGAGGTTGCAGGCTTGTCGACCTACTCGACTTGGATAATGGTCACATGATCGAAGGCGGCCAATCAGAGGAAGGATTGCAGCTTACAAATGTTCCCCGTTTCTGTAAAGCTATTAAAACAGATGTCAGGAATTTTAGTGCGTATTTTAAGAAAGTTTTTGAAAATCGTACTTTTTACCTGTACAAACTTTTATGAATATGAACGTCTTTTCGTCGGGTGCAAGTAAAACCTCGTTAACTCGTTACAATATGACAGTGAAGGGTTTTTTATTTGAGACAAGACAATGGGTACAAATGTTATGGATGGTTTAAATTGGCTAGGTAATGATTAAATAAAATCTTAAAAAAAAGGGTCATTAATCAGTGGCATGAATGCAGTAGATATTGATATTTTTTAAAGTTTTTTCGAGCTCAAAGCATCTCAATCAACTTAGTTCATTGGAAGTTACAAAGATTAGGGCAACGATTGGAGGTATTGTTGAAGGTAACAAGAACCAAGCCCCTGCGTCATACTCGTTCACATTTCCGTGACAAGTGCTGAGGGACGAAATCCGATTAAATGTTTTCTAGTGTTAACGCAAGCAGACATTAATGAAATTAGGAATAAGCTGAGACCAGCCAATCCTTGCTAGGCAGAGAGGTAAGTTAAACTTTGTCGTCACCAACTTACCATAAACATAGGGTAACGGTGGAGCAACTGGACTCTAGTGGCAAGATCGATATCATGTTCCAGAAACCAGAATACTTTTGTCTCTTGAGCACTTTCAATTGGATGAGGTGAGCAATCAGTGATTGCTTTGGTTTTGTTTTACTTTGCCTTTGGATTGGTTGAGAAATTTATCCGCTGTTATCATCATAAACAATCAGTGGCAAAGCTAATACGTATACCAGTCATGTGGTAAATTTGGTCTTTGTTTTGCCAAAAATAAGTCGAAACGCGTTCAACGTTTACGGTCGTTCAGGAATCATTCCTATTACATTATAGCAGGTGACACCCTAGACCCTGTGCAAGGCATCGAGCTGTAACATCTCTGCCAAAGATTTTTGACGCCCTGACGGAAACTTTCACTACAAGAGAAGTAAATACACGGATTTAACGCGGAGTTACTGAGTCCCAATAACTTTGTGACAAAATTTAGACGGTAACCGTGACTGAGGCGCAGTTGGTAGTATAGCAATAAATGGTGGCGACCCAGAAGGAGACCAATATACTGCGAACGTTAAAACAATCACACATAACATGATAGTCGCCCTTCTGTTTATCTTTTCATCCCGTCCACTTGATTGTGTCGCTTGGCTCACGGAAGGTTCTTTAAAACAAAGTTTCACGCCCATCACAGTGTACACAATTGCCATTACTACTAAGGGTGTGACTACAAAAGCTACATAATTAAAAATGACATACACTTCAGCGGACGGGAGACTGTTGAATTCTGGGTAGCAGATTTTTGTAATGTTTTCAATTTGGATTTGATAAACTTTGAAGAGAGGCGAAGTAAAGACAATTGTAGGCAGCCACATTGAAATAATGATCATCTTTGCAGCGCGCTGAGTGATGATTTTCTTGTGAGGGTGAAACACGAGAAGGAAACGGTCCACTGCCATGGCTGATAAGCTGCCTGATGAAAGATTTACAGCCTCAAACCAGCAAAAATCGTATCTTTTACAGAGAATTAGGCCAGATATTCCAGAGACTAACCATTTAGGTCCAGTCACTGCTGTAAGCAGTTCAACCGGTATGCTAAAAACAGCTACAACTAAGTCCGCGACGGCCATGTTTACCAAAAAAGAATTGCTGGCAGCCTTTGTTCTTTTCTGAACAGTGTTGTTGTCTCTCAGACTCGTATTAACTACAACGACCAGGGTATTTCCCAATCATCTTTGGTATTTCCCAAAAGGGAAATACCAAAGATGATCGCATAGGCGGTCATCTTAAGTTGCCACAGAGGTTTGTGAGTCGAAACAAGACTTTCACTACTCCTGTTGGAATTAGTACCATCCATCTGTTTAGTCACAAGGCTTCTATTCGAATCTGAGAAAAATATGGGTCAATAAACGTTTCAGTGAGAAAATAACTGTCCAATGTAGTCTTTCGCAATCTCTTGTAGAAGGGTGGAAGAGATATAGTTATTGTATTTCGGAAGAATGTTTACTTAACACCATCTTGATAGACAGTCGAAATAGCGCGAATTCGAATCAGACAGCGTCAATATGAGCTACCAACCCGATAAACTGAAACAATTTCCTTTTAATTTTAATGGTTGATTCCACAAGTCAATGATGACGTCTGTAAGTTCACTCTTAACTCTTAGTCACAGCATCCAGTTTTTGTTATGAAATTCGATTCCATTTCAGTAATTGATTTGCTTCTTTAGGCCCTGTTTACAAGCAGGTAGGGTAACCCTAATGCTAGGGTTACCCTACCTGCTTGGTAGGGTAATGGTAACCCTAATAACCCTAATAGGGTAACCCTAATGCTAGGGTTACCCTAGCACAACATTTTACTTGAAAGAATGGAGAAACGTTTCGGATTTGGAGGTATTGCACTAAAATGGTTCAAATCATACCTAGAACATCGTATTCAGTCAGTGAAGATCAAACACTCCATCTCAAAGCCTCGACATATCTCCTACGGTGTACCCCAGGGATCAGTACTTGGTCCACTACTCTTTCTAATCTATACCTCGCCTACAGAAGACATTGTTGCTGAACATGGCCTAAACTGTATGATATATGCTGATGATTCCCAACTTTACATAAAGATAAACTCCTCTGACAGAATGCTGGGCATGGAAAGATTGAAATCATGTGTTAATGCAATCATGGAGTGGGCAAGAAAAACAGATTGCAGTGCAACCCTTCAAAAACACAAATCATTCATTTCCTCTCACGCTTCTCAAAAAATCCTCCTTTCTGCAATATCAATGTTGGAGATGAATTCATTAATTTATCTAATACTGTCCGAGACCTAGGTGTCATGCTTGACTCTGTGATGAACTTACGCTCGCATATAAATTCCATCTGTAAATCGTCGTCTCAAGCAATCAGAAATATTGGTCGCGTTCGTAAATACCTCTCGACGCAGCAAAATGAAAGATTGATACACGCCTTCATCTCATCGAGACTTGATTACTGTAATAGCCTATTGTACGGTCTACCGATTTGTGACATCGAAAAATTCCAACGGATCCAAAACACAGCTGCCCGCTTGTTAGTCGGTGCTAAATCAAGAGACAGTATAACACCTATACTTATGAAACTTCATTGGCTCCCGGTCACAAAACGAATTCAATTCAAGATACTGTTGATAACATACAAAGCACTAAATGACATGGCTCCAACCTATCTTGTTGAACTTCTTAGTCGATATATTCCAGCACGAAACCTCCGTTCATCAAACATGAATCTACTTGAGGTCCCAACAATTCGAACTAAAACGTATGGGCAAAGAGCATTCTCCTAACAACTACCTGAATGCATAAAAAACGCCGAATCTGTTGACTCCTTTAAACGCTTATTGAAAACTTATCTTTTCAAAAATTAAGCCACCAGATTTTTTTGATATTGTACGTTGTCAAATATATGTATAACACGTAATAATTCATTAGTTTAGATAGAGTAGCGAAAATTGCATGTATAGGATTTTTATTGAAATTTTGTTAATTGTAATTGTAAAGCGCAAAGAGTTCAATTTTAATGCGCTATATAAGAACTTATTATTAAATTAAAATTGAATTAGGGTTACCCTGGCAGGAGGGTTACCCTAACGCTCCCACATTTCTTCTTTTTTCATCGACGTGTTTACAAGGCAACTAGAGTTACCCTAGCACTAGGGTAACCTTAGCTGAGCGCTAGGGTTACCCTAGTGCCAGGGTAATCCTAGCTGCCTTGTAAACGCTCTGCTGGGGATAACTCACCTACCCGGGACAAATTTTTACTTGTTTCCAGACCCTTTGAACATTGATAACAATGCGTGTAGTTACCAAACATAGGTAAGTTGTGAAATTTTGCTTGTAAACCTGGGCTATCTTTGACCCGCCTGCTAGGGTAACCCTAGCACAAGGGTTACCCTCCTTGCTTGTAAACAGGGCCTTAAGCAGGAAGTTGGAAGGGGGCGTTTTTCATTTGATGAAGTTTACACTTGAAAACCGTTTTTTTCTGCTTTTGGCCTCACTCAGTTTGAACAAAAAAAACTCAAAGCTAGGAGTAAATGAACGTACTAGAATATTATGAGTAAGATAAGTGAATTGGCTTTTCTTTGGTGCTTTTTACATGTGTCTTAAGTTTTCTTTGGAAAAAAATTGTCTGTATATTCTTTTATGTCGTGTGCTTTATTTGCACAATTGTATCAGTCCTTTGTTTTGAATGATTTGACATAATAATAAAAAAATAATAATAACTTTATTTCAAAACTTAAAACATACAATAACTTCGTGTGGGTAATGGTTTTTCCTCTCGTACATTTCCAAATTAATTGATACGAACGGAACACATCTGTTAAATTCGGTTGTCTATGATCAGACTCGTATCAGACCCAAACTAACTTTGATAAAAAAAAACGACCTACATATAAAAATCGCGAAAGCAACTACTAGTTCGTTTTAAAAGAATTTAAAAAAACGTGCATCGAAATTACCCTTAAAAGTAAGTTACATTAAAAAATATATGAGAAGGGAAATGACACTCTTACTCTAAAAAACTGTAAAAACAAATTTTGAAAATGTCTAGCCTATATTTGCCATAGTATTGTCATTTCAAAAATCTGTATCGAATGTCTCAAATGTTCTTCTCTTCTTTCTTGTACCTCTTAAGCATAAGAGGGCACATCGTAAGAGCGCAAAAGAGATTTTGGCTCTAATCCAGGACATAGTGTTAGAGTATGTTTCACATTTCTTAATGGATAGGAGTTCAGCTAAGCGTTTATAATAAATTTTGCATTCAGTGCCCATCCCTCCGGTGGTACTAAAGATCAGGGGCGTAAAGGATCCTTGCTCTATTTCCAATACTCTACTGGCGTACTTTCGTTTCTTCTCATTTTTGTGCTGTTTAAAGACTTGCTCAGATGTCTTCTCGCGATAGGAGTCAGCATAAGGGTGGAATACCCGGACATCAAAGTATGCAGACTTCTGTGGTCTTTTAACGGGATGACAGTGAGCCAACTGGAGGCACCTCTTTCTGATGCTTGTTCTTTCACTTTGAGCGAGTTCGGTGTTAACATGTTCTTTACCCTCACTTCAGATTCTTTCAGGGCCTCACGTTTCTTAGCTATTGCCTGGGACTTTGCAGCATTCTTATCTGCTTCATCTGGGGTGTGGTGATCTTGATGTATGATACGCTGAGTCAGTGGTCCAGTAACAGTT